ATTCTGGGATGTGGGTCATAGAGGATCCTGTTGTGATTTATGTCGGAGAGTGTTTTGCCTATGTTCTCCTCTAGGAGTTGTATTCTTGACCTCACTCAGAACCCTCAAGATGCATAGTCCCTGCTAGTGTCTGGCACTTGCTCTTCCCTTTTCCTGGAATGTTCTCCTCTTGGACCTTCACTTAGGGGGCTTCCTCCCCTCTTTATGCCCCAAATGCCTCATAATCAAAGGTGAGGTACCCTCTTTCTCAGCCCCTATTTTTAACTCCTCTATGACCTTGCGCTTGTGTGTTTAGTCCCTCAGTCATGTCCGACTCTTGCGACCCCCTGGACTATAGCCCGCCAGATTCTTCTGTCCATGGGATTCTCCAGGCAAGAATCCCGGAGTGGGTTGCCATGCCCTCCTCCATGGGATCTTCCCAACCCATGGATTGAACCCATAGTTTATAAATTTTTTATTTAGGCTTATTTGTGTGGCTTTTTCTGTCCCACTAAAATAAGGCTTCTCCTGTGCAAAGACCAGGTGTCAGTCTTACCCACAATGTCTTCATGGTACCCTAAGAGTGCATGCAATAGAGGCTCAACCAGTGTTTGATCAACACATTAAAAGAAGAAAAATCTAAAACTGAACCATGAAGACTGGTCATTGCTGTTCTTAGAATTACAAGGTCAAGCTCCATCCACAGGACATCTTCCTGTGATCCCCTCTTGTCCTCGACCTAACCTGTGTCCAGTCACCAGGTCGCAGGGGCAAACTCCCACACTTCCCATGGGAAAGGCTATGAGCCACTCACCCACTGTACAGAACCTCTGACATTTCCTAATGCCAAGGAGAAGGAAAAGCAATTTCTTCTTTTTCCCAGGTATCATGTCAATCTCAGAATCATTAGCTAAGAGGTGGCTCTGCTAATGATTAAGAGAGGCCTTTACATTGTTAATCAAAGTTTACATTCTCTTTACAGTCTTTTTGCTTGTCTTGTTTAGAACCTTTTTATTATGGTAAAACATGTATAGGATAACTTTCCATTTTAACTATTAAGTGTACAATTTATTAAGTGCATTTGCAATATTGTGTACCCATTACCACTGTCTATCCAAAATTTTTCAATACTCCCCCCAAACCACTGGTTTTTCTTTAATTTGTTTCAGCAATGTTTGTACTCATCAGAGTACAAATCTTTCACCTCCTTGGTTAAACTTATTTCTAGGTCTTTTATGCTTTTGGAGACATGGAAATAGAATTTTTTTTTCTTAATTTCTTCCTAGATGATTAATTATTGCTGTGTAGAAACACAAGTAATTTTTCTGAATTAGTCTGTACACTGCAATTGAATTCATTTATGAGCTCTAGTAGCTTCTTGATGGATACTCTGTAGTTTTCTATGTTAATATATAGGATTATGTCATCTGTATATTGAGATACTTTTAGTTCTTCCTTTCCAGTTTGGATTTGTTTATTGTTTTTTCCTGCCTGGTTGCTCTGGTTAGAAGTTCCAGTACAATGTTGAATAGCAATGGTGAAAGCAGTATCTTTGTTCTTTTTCTGATCTTAAGAGGAAAGACTTTAGCCTTTTACCATTGAGTATTATGCCAGCTGTGGGGTTTTTGTCAATGCCTTTGCTCATGGTGAGGAAGTTCGGTTCTATTCCTAGTTTTCTGAGTGTTTTTATCATGAAGGGTTTTGATTTCTTCAAATGCCTTTTCTGGGTCAGTTGAGACATTGTGTGTGTGTGTGTGTGTGTGTGTGTGTTTTCAATTACTGTAAAGTATTACATTGACTGCATTTCTTATGTTAAACCATTTTTGCACTCCAGCAATAAATCATACTTGGTCACAATGTGTTTTTAATATGCTTTTGGACTATTTGCTGTATGTTGTTTAAGATTTTGCATCTATATTCACAAGGGATATTAGTTTGTAATTTTTTTCCTAATAATGTCTTTATTTTTGTATCAGAGTGATGCTGGCCTCATAGAATAAGTTAGAAAACCTTTCCTCTTCTTGTATTTTTTGGAAGAATTTGAGAAAGATTGGTGTTAATTCTTCTTTAAGTATTTAGAATTTACCTTTGAAAACATCTGGTCTTGGACTTTTCTTTGTTGTAAAGTTTTTGATTATTCTCACTTGTAGATTACTCCTGTAAAATATCTGCTGAGATTTTATTTCTTCTTGAGTCAGATTAGGTAATTTGTGTTTCTAAGAATTTGTCCATTTCATTTAGATGTTCTAATTTGTAGGTGTACAGTTATTCACAGTATTCTTATTTCTGTAAGGTTGGAAGTAATGTCTCCACTTTCATTTATGATTTTAGTTATGTGCATTTTTTTTCTCTTTTTTTACTTTATCATTGTGACAAAACATTTCTCTGTTTTGATATCTTTTCAAAGAACCAACTTTCAATATCATTGATTCTATTGTCTTTCTATCCTCTGTTTCATTTATCTCTGCTCTAATCTTTATTGTTTCCTTTTTTCTGCTAACTTTTAGTTTGCTCTTCTTTTTCTAGTTCCTCAAGGTATAAAGTTAGGTTGTTGATTTATTTCTTTTGCATTCCATACTTTTTAGCATGTTGTATTTTTGTTTTTATTCATCTCAAAGTATTTCTTAATTCTTCTTGTGGTTTATTTTTTGACACACAGGTTGCTTAAGAATGTGTTGTTTAATTTCCACATATTTGTGGATTTTCCAGTTTTCCTTCTATTATTGATTTATAGCTTCACTTCATTGTGGCTAGGGAAGATTTTGTATGATGTTCATCTTTTTAAATGTATTGAGATCTGTCTTGTAGCCTAATATGTGGTTTCCTTAGACTCTTTGAACATATTTATGGACTCAGTCATTCAGTTGTGTCCAGCTCTTTGCAGCCCCATGAACTGTAGCCTGCCATGCTCCTCTGTCCATGGGATTTTCTGAGAAAGAATAATGAAGTGGATTGCCATTTCCTACTCCAGTGGATCTTCCCAACCCAGGATCAAACCCACATGTCTTCCATCTCCTGCATTGGCAGGCAGATTCGTTACCACCGGTGCCACCTGGGAAGCCCGAGCATATTTAACAGAGTTGTTTTAAAGTCTGTCAAGTAAGTCCAGTATTTGGGCTTCCTCAGGCATGACTATGTCAATTTATTTGGTTTCTCTCAATGGGTCATACTTACCTGTTTCTTTTTATACATTGTGATTTATTGTCAAAAAATGACATTTGAAACTTATAATGTGGTAGCTCCAGAAATCAGATTCTCTCCTCCCTCCTCTAGGATTTGCTGGTATTTGATTGTTGAAGGCTACCCTTGTACTTCTGAGTGACGTTTACCAACTGTTTTTGCAAAGACTATCCCTTGTCATGCATCATCAATGCAGTCTTTCTTATTTTGGCTTGTGTTTAGCTAACATTTTGATAGAGATTTCCTTAAACACCAGGACCATTTTTAAGTTGCTTTTTTCTTGAGTTGGCATTTGGTTGCTGTAAACCTTTAATTGCTTTCCAGAGTTTTGACAATGTGGGCCCTGACAGTTTCTGCTTTTTTTTTTCTGCTGAGGGGTGGCAGTCTGGAGCTGCCTGTGCCACCATTTGGCTCTAGTTTCTCCTAATGTTATAGCAGCAGTTTGAAAACAAAAAGGATTGTGCTTCAAAACAACGAGCAGTCTTCCCCCAAAGAAAGATCAGAAAGATGACAAATCTCAAAGTAGTACTTTATTTCTACTCAAGGATTTTAAAATGTGAGGGTCAATCTTAGCAGCTCACTACATTATCATCATGCTAGTTTATTCATTCATCTGAATCTCAGGGTGTGGCAGGGCATTGGAATTTTTTTAAGTTATTTGGGTGATTCGGGTATGCAGTCAAGGTTACAATCTGCAGTTGTAGAATTAGGCTGATTAGTGTAAAAGCACTATTGTTTTCCTTTTCTCCCTGTGTCTCAGTGTCATCATTTATGAAATGGAGTTTTAGTATTGGTACCTACTTCATAGACTGTTCTGAGTCAATTAGTACATGTCTGCCAAAATGGTAGCCACTGTTAAAGAAGATGTGGTACATATATAAATGGAATATTACTCAGCCATTAAAAAGAATGAAGTAATGCCATTTACAGCGACATGGATGGACCTGGAGATTATCATACTAAGTGAAGTAAGTTAGACAGAAGAATAAGTATCAAGTAATGCCACTTATATGTGGAATCTAAAAAAAAGATACAAATGAACTTATTTACAAACCAGAGATAGACTCACAGACCTAGAAAATAAACTTATGGTTACCAAAGGGGAAAGGTAAGGGGATGGGAGAGGGATAAACTGGGAGTTTAGGACTGACATGTACACACTACTGCTGCTGCTGCCGCTAAGTCACGGCAGTCGTGCCCGACTCTGTGCGACCCCATAGCCGGCAGCCCACCAGGCTCCTCTGTCCCTGGGATTCTCCAGGCAAGAGTACTGGAGTGGGTTGCCATTTCCTTCTCCAATGTACACACTACTATATTTAAAATAGATAACCCACAAGGATCTACTGTATAGCACAGGGAACTCTGCTCAATATTCTGTAATAACCTAAATGGGAAAAGAATTTGAAAAGAGAATAGCTATATGCATACATGTATAACTGAATCACTTTGTTGTATACCTGAAACTAACACATTGTAAATCAATTATAGTCCAATATAAAATAAAAGAATTTTTAAAAAGGAACAAAAAATTAAAAGTGCTGACCCTAAAACAAAAAGTGAACTATTGTTATGTTTTATTTTTCTACTCTGCTTCCTGACTTCTCACTGCATTCTTTTCCATGGCTCATGGTATATGCCTCTGTTCACGCTCATGGTAGACGCTCTGTTGATTCTTTGCTTCATGGATGTTCTCCACTGACCCTCTCTGCCCACCAACCTCCTCAAAGTAAAGAAGCAAAAGGACTGATGCACACCAGTCTGTCTGCCATGGAAGCCAATGACCTAAATCCTCTTTTTCTCCCTCCTGAGATTTCCACCTGCTCTAAACCCTTCAGATATTTCTGATGCCATTTGTACTTTTCCTAGTCTAATCATTGTTTGCTCTCTCATCCCTAAGAAGCACATCCCAAGATTTTTAACCAGCAGTTTTCTTCTCAATCACCTAAGACCCATTCATTCCTCCATTCTTATTGTTCCCCACTCTTTTCCCTTATACTCTTTCTGGTTTATCCTTTTGACTTGTCCATGGAGCTGCCCTTCTTACATTTTTCCAGTTAAAGCAGAGAAAAGAGAACATGTTGCACATGAGCCCTTAGGGCCAGGGTTGGGACTCATGACATCTGCAATGCTGTATCACAAATTCATCTCTGAGTGTGCATTTCACATCTTTTTAAAAATAAAGCAGAGATATATGACAGAGAAAAACACCTTGAGTAAACTTCTGCATTTTATTTGATTATAATCTTGATTTTTAATGTTAACATTTATTTTAAAATGTTAGCATTTTAAATATTCTTCATGTTAAATTTTGTATAACTTTTGCTTATATATCTACTTATATGTTTATATTATACATATGTTGTCTGTAAAATGTAAATATATAAATGTAGAAACATGTATGCATATAATATATATAAAGTATTATATAAATATGTTAAGCATTTGTTTATATACTTTGATATAATATTTTAATGTTAAAGTATTTTTTTCTAAAATCTTGCTCCAAGGAGCTCTATCAGATCACAGGTATTCCCCATGATTGATACTGGAAACCCTTAGGGTCACAAATCCCCCAGTTTGAGGATAAGAGGGAGGTGTAACAGAGTCTTCTTTCTCTCCTTTGTTTTTCTTCCTTTGCCACTTCTCTGCAATTTCCTCTCCTTTTTTTGAAAGCATAGAATTTATTTATTTTTAATTAGGGTATAGTTGCTTTACAATGTTGTTAGTTTCTGCTGTATGAATGGATAGATTGAAGATGTCGTACATATATGTGATGGAATATTACTCAGCCATAAAAAGGAATGAAACTGGGTCATTTGTAGAGATGTGGATGGACCTAGAGACCGTCAAACAGAGTGAAGCAAGTCAGAAAGGGAAAAACAAGTATCGATATTAATGCACACATGTGAGCTACCCTCCTTTTTATAGTTTTTCTTCTAACAGTTAAATATTTGTTCATGAAAGAAAAAATAAAAACTCCAGTACTTGAGGACTTAGTATTTTCTAATTCCTAGATTTAAAAACAAAAATATTTTTTCCTTTGGGAAGAACATTTTTCATCAGAAGTGTTTTGGAAGGATTTTATTACAGACTTGAACCCACCTGTCTTGAAGCCATGGTTTCTTGTGCTAAATGGCTGAAAGACATCAAGCTCATAAACTGTAACCCAGGTCTTCTCTTCCTTGCTGCCTCATTGTGGGGAGGAGAGAGGTGCTGTACTTTATTCTCTTTCTTTCCTATTTGCTCCTCTGTTAATCTGATTGTGGTCTCACTCTGGCTACAAATTTTCAGATAGTATCTATTTTGAGGACACATTGGTCTTAATTGATTTGGGCCTCTCAGTTAAACAGACACTCAGTAAGTTATTGGCTATTTTGAGACTCTCCATTAATTCGCTAACTATGTCTCTATTTTTTTCCCAATGTTCACCCGGAAGACATGCCTTCTTCAAGAACACCTTGAATCTGTCCAAAAGGAGTTCATAATTTTCAACAGAGAAAAGTAAGTAACTCCTGGAAGAACAGCAGCCCAGCAAATGATGGACTGTTTCAGTCAGATTTGACTTGCAATGCCTTGATATATTTTTAAACATTTTTTTATTCTAATTACAAAAATGATGCATACCCATAATAGCAAATCTAGAAATTTCATAAATCTTTTTTTCTTGTAAGAGATTTCAAAAATTATAATAGATAAATTAGCTTAGCATGAGGTCTCTGTTGATGTTCAACATTTAAAATCAATGATATTTTTAATAAGGTTACCTGATTCATGCTTCTTTGTAAATTGTTGGACTTCATGCTATCATTTCAAAAGTTTAAGTCTTTTATTTCTCACTTCAATGATTAAACCTACTTTATATCTTCCTTTTAAGAGTCAAAAGGGACTTTAATAAAAGACAAGCAAATCAAGCCTTGGAACAAACCAAAGACCCACAAGGAGAGGATGGTCAGAATAGCAACCTGTGAAGTCCTCATCATCTTCTTGGGACATTTCCACATCAGGAAGAGCTGACAATAATTCTCACCTCTCCACACCTCACACACCTTAGAAAATGTGAATGAATGCCTTGGGAAGGAGGCAGCATGACCCAGGGAAGAGTCCCTGGGTTCCTGGGAACTAGTTTCACAATTGTGTGACCTTGAGCAAGTCACTTAATCCCTTTCTCTGCTTCAGTTTGTTCATCTAAAAGGAGAAGTTAGTACTCGATGAGTTCTACACTGCCTTTTTAACTGCCAACATCCTGTTATTCTTAATAGCCTCTATTTTTACTTTAAAAGGAATATTTGGATGTAGATTTATTTTTTCACTCTTAATTACACTGTGACAAATGGACTTCGGTGGCTGATGGAGGGAAGCCCTTGAGAGCTAGAAAACTTCATAAGGAAGCCAGAATCCCCAAACCCACCTGAGGAGGAGTAAGGAATTCATTCCGGAAGAAATGGGTGGGACCAGATGAGAAGTGACACATACTGATGAGGGCCCTCCAGTGGTGTGCTGGACCTGAACACTATACCAGCTTGTATCATTTAGTAAGATCTGCTAGGCATAAATGCCCCAATGCCCTGTTCAGTAATGTGAAATTGAGAAGTTGAAATTGGTGATGGTGGAAATATTTACACCATGGAAACTGGCAGATGCTACAAATAGGGCTTTTTTTCCCTCTCCCAGCAAGCCATTTCTGAAATATTTAGCACACCCCTGGCCTTCTTCTAGAAGCATGTTCCTTGGGAACTGTTACCTCTTAAGACTCTCAGAGACCTGGGTCCAGACAGGATTAGAAAAGAACATTGTCACATTGAAAACATGTCCAACTTATAGTACACTGAAGTTGTATCTTACACGGGAGTTACAGTCTAAGTTAGAATGTGAGGTGAATTTGGAAGATAGTAGAATTTACCCTTGAAAAATCCCTCTAATATACATTAACATATAGTGAGTATCTTTTCTTAGAGAAGCCCAATATCATCCAGGCCCTTCACTAATGAAACGAATCATCTCTGATTCACTTTTTTGGGTCTCATTTTAAGGTAATACCAGATGCACAAAAATGTTAAACAGATTATTCATGGCTTGGTAGACGAGTCTCACACTTTAAACTGTGGAATGCCCACAATCTGAGAGGTCTAAGGTCATGGAAACTGACTAAGCGAGCAGCAATACCTACTTGTGCTTACTGCAAAGAACGGCAGGCCAAACCACCTATCTACAATATCTTCTTTATCTGCCAAATACAGAGTTAAACTCGCCTAAGTTGAGATGTAACTCTACGCTCCAGATACACAGAAGATCTTTGCAGAAGAACTGTTTTTTGGCAACTCCCAGCTGCTGCTGGGTGAAGAGTAAACAGGGTCAGTGGGGGTCTGTTGTAACTCTTAGCCACTCAGCTCATCAAAACCCTGTCCTTCCTTGTGGAGCGTGTGGGGCTCATCAAGGCGGCAGTAAGTTGTCAACAGGGGAGACCAGACAGGTGGAAACAAGCAGAAGTAAGAGACGCTGCTACACAGGACTTTTCCAGAAGGGAGGTCACTCTGGGCAACTCAATATGAGCAGAAAAGCAGTGCTGAGCTGTAAACGCAACACTGACAGCTTTCTCCACCCTCAGCTAACAGGCCCAGAACTTCTGGCCTTGAAAACCTGGACACAGGGCCTCTCTGCTTTAAGAGTAACCACATTTCTATTAAGAATTAAAAGCCAGATCCTATGTTCTGTTTGATTCCTTTTCTCTCTGTTTCCCCCACATGATCTCTCTGTGCTAGTTTTTCTCCCACATAGAAATTATGGCCCAGTTTCCCAAGGAGGGGGTTGACTGAATCTGTAAGGAGGTGACCGGATTCTGCTTCTCGTTGGTAACCAGGAGTGTCAGGGGCCACGTGCATGTTTACCAACTTCCATCTTTCATTTGTTTGGAGTCAAGCCCTGATGTGTGTGGACTCATCTCTCCAGTCACCTGGTTCCCCCTCTTTCTCTGACCTTGTCTATTATCATCCCAATGGAGAGACGCTGGGAAAGATTTACCCAAGGGCAATGGGATTGGCAGGGTCTCCGTTGGGATGAGACCCGTTAATCCTTTGTGCCATTTCATGTCTACTCAGTTAATAATGGAATAGGAACTCAAAACAACTAGGTATTCTGTAGGGTGAATATCTAGTTTTTACTTCCAGTGACCTTCTTCTGTGCCTGCAGCACCTTTGTGGGCTTTCAGGAACCATGGGTGCAATGACTAGAGGGCACAGCCTGAGAGGTTAAGATCAGATTTCCAGTCCTCATCAGGTTACAGAGCCACAGGTAGTTCAAGTTAGAAAATAAAAAGCATCGCATCTATCAGTGTAGAACAACTGATCCCAAGAACCTCCACTGGGTATTTTGAGTGCTAGGACAAAAGTTTCCCATATATAAAAGGATTCCTCAGTCCTTACCATGACTGCTAGTTGTTGAAATCAGATCCTTGGGTTTCATTCCGTAACCTGGGCTAAAACTGACTACCCTACTGGCTGAAACATATCCAGGTTTATGACAGCCAAGGCTCAGGGCTAAGAATTTTTTTAAAATTACAAAAAATAGGGTGACTCTTAAATCCTTTTGTCTGGCATTTCTGACATCTTATTTTCCCTCACACCTCCCTTACCTGTGTGGAACATCTGAAAAGTGTGAGCAGGTTTGAAAGCCCAGGAGCATCCTGGCTCTAACACTGGCACTGCAGAGGGGCCCACCCACCCCAGTGCAAACACAGGGGCCACAGGTGGGAGGGTGGGGCTACTCTGTGACCCTGTCCCTGACCTGAACCCCATGGAAGAAAATGCTTTGCTAATGGCTCATTCCCCAAGGCAGCACTGGTCTTACCTGAGGGCACTGCTAGGGCAGAAATCAATGTCAAAAAACACAGAACACTGCTCTGTTAATGAGGGAAACTTAAGTAATTGGCAATTAGTCTGCTTCTGATAGTTAAGTTTTAACCAGAAACAACTAGACTTTATATCATCATAGCTTTTCTAGCCTGGATGGATGAATAAATAACTAGGGAGAAAGAGCAGGTCACACAGCTAGCAGGGGCCAGCGCTGATGATTTTGACTAACGCAGTAATGCTAAGGCTTATAATTCTTCAAGGGCTCAATGAAAAGGCATGAAAAAGAGTGAATTGTTTTAGCATCCAGTTGTCCCTGCATTCTGTCGACACAAATCTGTTTCCTAGAGACTCTGCCTGTGATCACCATTTCTTACAATCTCAGTGTGTCTGATATTTAACACTGTTAAAAACCCAAACCCCGTTTACAAACTGCTGTTGTGAATGGGTAACCCTTTGCTGGGAAATCTGTGCTTCTGTTGAGCTGTATCATACATGCTGTCAATGTGCCTGTATGTATTAAAATGTCTTCTGTACATTGGAAGCCACTGTCCTTTCTTTGTCAGCCAAGTGTGTGTGTGTAATCGTTTCCCTGTGGGTTCCCAAAGTCACCTGTTCGCATTTCCATTTCCTGCTGGGAGGAATGTCCTTCACCAGAGACAAGGCGGTATTAGAGATGATGTTTCAGAACCATGAAAAGTTAGAGATGATGTTCTAGAACTATGAGATGCAGCACAATCCAGCTAATCCACATGTGTAGAAACTGAGAACCTGACCCCTCCTGCAGTTACCTAAGGAAGCACAGCCCAGGACTCTGGATTTTGCCTTTCACTATGATCTTAAGGCCGTGGACAGTTCAGGCACCTATTTTTTCAGCACTCTGTCTTCCTACCCACCAATATCTTTGTCCTGTCCTATTCTACATATCCAAGCAGCAGGTGGATGTTCCAAGCCCAGAACCCAGGACAGGAAGGTAACCAACAGCTCTAAACTCTTGCAGGTAGAGGCAACTTCTGCCTTGGGGAGGATCAAGAGGTCTTCCAGTCATCTCTCTGACTCACAACAGCCTAGCAGCCACAGGCTAGCTGGTTCCTGGGACAGGATCTTGTTAAAGTCTTGTGGGCTCTGTTCAGGTCTCGGGAAGCATCCGGTCACCTTTTCGGTGTCCGCTGAGCACAGGGCAGGATCTAGACTTCTTTCCATTCTGAGGAATGCCTGTCTTAAGGACACGACCTCATTTCTGCAGGCTGCTGTGGCCCTCTCATTCCATTTCCTGCTCATTTCCTTCCTCCTTGTGAGAGCCTGATGGTAGTAAAGTTGATATCAGAAAGTTCTCTGAAGCCAGAGGGACCTTGTTATTCCTAGTCAGGGTTCTCATTCCCCACATGGTTGATGTGACTCAGCCCTAATAGCTCCAGCCTGCAGAGGTGTGAAAGTCAATGTGTGAACTGCACCAACTTAAAACAAAAAACTGCTTCATCCCTTTTAGAACTCTGCAGGCTGAGCTCATTTTAAGCACTAACCCTGCTCTTGACACCTAGGCTAATCCTAAGGAGAGCTCCATTCTGCCATGACCATGAACAGGGAGAGGTGTTTCACCCGTCTTGAGTTCAACCCACAAAACAGGATTGTGGGCAAAAGCTTGTTAATCATGAAGCCTTGCACGTCACAATGAAATAACTCCTTATATGCACAGAGGAACTTCTGATGTGGTTTCTGAGGTTCTGTGTTAAAGGTTATCATCACTCTGAGCTCCTGTCCTGAAGACACTGCTCTGCCAAACCAAGGTGGGGGTGACCATCACACACCAAATTCACCAGGAACTACCATGCCCTGATCCCCTGCCCCACCTACCCCAATCTACACAGATACTGTGTCCTGCAGCTTGAGAATGGTGCCATGGCTACCTCCTTTTTTACCTAGACTCCATGCCCTCCTCTTCTGGAATCACAAACTGATTTTCTTTGAGTCATTGAGGGTCCACGTAGTTTGGGTGGCTCCGAGCCGGTGTGTTACCAGGTGTGGCCAATCCCAGGATTTCGCAAACAGTGCCAACTACAAAGGAGTATGTGACCAAGCCGGAACAATCAAAATCAGCCTCCTTGGCCAGGAACTATCCAAGGATCCCTCCACCCCACTCCCGCACCCAGAAATCACTAATCAAGTAAAGTGCAAACTTAGAGGTGCTGATGGCCAGTTTTGCTCCTAAGTGGAATGAGCTTTCCTAAGAATGAAGCACTTGCTAAAGGCAAACAGGGCTAAGAGATGGAGAGAAACAATGTTCTAGATGCAGCTATGCTTCGGTCTACCCAAGTCTATCCCTGAAGTTTTCAGTTATACTAGACTTAAAAAAAAAATCTTTTTCAAAAAGTTTTCTTACTAGGCATCTAACATTTGCAATTAAAAATGCCCTACATAAGTTCTAATTGGATCCAGGACTGTTTCCCAAAAAGGGTTTAGTGTAACAGGTCTGGTGGAATGCAATATGATACAGAAGGGTTCAGAACCATGAGTTCAATAACTTGAAATATACAAAATTTCTCAGCCTTTAACTTGACAACAATGCTTTAAATCTCTCCAATTATTACAGTACACACATTAGATTCCTTAGGAACAGTGTGCTAAAGAATATACTTTGGCACATGCTTAGTTTTTCTCCAAGTCCAGGTTTTAGAAGTAGAGGAAATGCTTCAGGGGAATGGCAAAAAAACAAAACAGAATAAAACAAACCTTTCAGGATCTGTTCTGAACTCAGCTAGGTTTATCCCAATTGGCAATGCCTTTATATTATTGCTGAATTTGATGACCCATTAAAAAATTTTAGTTATTCCCCAATGTTTCAATAAGTCATTTAACTCTGTGGCCAGAACAAAACTCATGTGCAACTGAAAAGAGAAACTTCAGATTTCTCAGGGTAACGGTTTACATCAGACATGTCCCTCTTACTAACCGCGTCACTTCTCTTAAGAAGTTGTCACACTTCAGGTAGATAGGAACGACACACACGGAAGAAGGCTGGACAACGACAGCTGTGATTTCAGAGTTATTTTAATAACCAGGTTTACATTAACAGTCACTTGATGAACTTTTTTTTTTTTTCCTTAATCTCAGCTAAACTCAAAACACAGTTTTCTTCACGGTTCAAAGCAAACAGCTCTCAGCGTTCCAGAGCTGCTTCACAGCTACCACAGGTCACAGGGAGAGTCACTGTCTGTTCAGAGTCACAGACACAGAACTGAACACCCACACACCATTTCCAAAGGGGGAACTCACAAGGGATGCTGGCTGCCTGGGACAGCCCACGTGGACACGGGGACTCGAGCTGGAGGTTCCAGGGGAGGAGGTCTGGGAAGCTTGGGCCAAGAAGCTGTTGGGAAGATTTCTCACGGGGCAGGCTTGGGATGGACGCCTTTGGGGCAGAACATGACTCTTTGTGTGGAGTCACAAAAGAAAAGGCCAGAGGATGACTGGACTTTGAAGAAATGCACTTTTGGGATAACTACAGCCCTGCTCTTTAGAAAACTTGAAGGAAATATCTCTAGTAGGGGGGGTAGCTGATTTATCTAATACCTTCTCAATTACCAAAGATGGCGGCCCTCCCAGAAAGAAGCCCAGATAATTGTCATCCCCTCTTAGAGAGGGGCCAGGTCAAGAGATGAGAGAGCCAAAGAAAGCTTGGAGGAGACGAGGACCCAACACGCCCTCCCACCCTCAGATGAGAAGCCAGGGAATTCTGAGAGGGCTGTGGCTCACCGCCACATTCTCTTCCTAAACCCTTTGGACAGGGCTCTTTGATGGGTCTCATGGAATACACATTCCACATTCGAATACAAATTTTAACTTAAGTAACAAGGAACCAGAACTCAACGTCAACAATATACTGGGGGTTTTCTTGGAATTCTCAGAAATTTATGTGCTTGGAAAGTTACTAATACTAAATGAAGACAGGGAGACTTCCTCAGTTAAGTTGCCCATCACGAATGCATATAGGGGTTGTTCCTTCAGCAAAAACAAAACAAAAACAAACTTGTGCAGACTGTAAAGTTCTGGCTCAGTGTTTCATTCAGAAGTCCTAAGTGCAGCCAATTTGGCCGTGAAAGATTTATTCTTCAGAGCACAGCGATGTCGTGGGGAGGCTGAGCTGGACTCGGGGATTGGGTAAGAGCAGCAGACGGCACACAAGAGGATGCCTGGACTAGTCATTTGTGTCTCTTCCTCCATCTGGTGGTCGTGGCTGGTACTGCAATGTACTTTAAAGCACAGCCCAGCCAATGAGGTATATGTGAAAGCTTCTGATCGGACTAGCTCCCTCTGCCTGCAAAACTGTCATTCTGAGTTCGACCAAAGGCCCCCAAATCTCTGAGTATATAAATCAAGAGCTGCAACCTCCCCTTCGCTTAAGTTTCTCTTACGATAAAGGCACCATGAAAAAGCCTTAAAACAGCAAGACTCCTTTTATGAAAGGAAACATCTTTTTTTATGATTAGAACAGAAAAGTACATTGCTAGGGAAATCCTCTTCCTTGGCTATTTCCAAACTCCTTTTTAGCCATGTACCCCCTTTTTCTCTGGTCTTCAACTTACTAAAACCTGCAGAGATAATGGCTTCTCCTAAGCACTTGAAAGGTGTTTGCTCTTTTCTTGAAAGTACTTAGTTCACGGGGTTGCAGGACCTACTGGCTGGATCCCCTGAGCACAGAAGTCTGATACCAGGTTGAATATGTTTTCCCTGCAATATGGACCTCAGCAGGATCACAGAACTTGCTCCAAAACGGAATTTTCAGAAGTGGAACGGTAGGGAATTGGACATTCAGGTCTGACCGACAAGGCAGATGCTAACACTATGCTAATTTCCTTTATGTGTCATGTCATTTCCACTCACTGGGAGACTCTGGTACTGAAACAAAAAGTTCCCCCACAAGATATGCTAAGTGAAAGGGCAAGAGATGGCTCAGAACTGACAAACAGAACCGCGACAACAGAACATGTTCCTTTCGCTTCAGACTGCCTTTCTCACAACCCTGCTGCCTCCCGTATGAGCAGAGATTCTCTATTAGTAATGAAAGTTAGGGAACACCTAAGAAAACAAATTTCCAACAATAACCAAAAAAAAAAATCATATTCAATCGAGGATGCCTGGATCTTAGGAGAACAAGAGAATCACTCACCCCTGGCAAGGGAAGTCCATCTCAGCTCCAGTCCTAACTTGAGAAGCCGCCTGCTTGTCTCCATTTGCAATGAGCTTGAGAGGTGATCACCAGGTGTTTAGAGGGCCTTGTTACTTAAGTGTGGCCGCCCTCCCCCCAGGGCCGGAGCTGTGCTCCCAGCTGCTGCGTTTTAAGAGCACCAAAGAGGCAGGGAGGGCAAGAGGAAGAGAAAGGCCATTGCTTCTCTCTCCTCTTAGTTCCCAGCCCAGGAAAGAGAATTTGAAAGCAATACTGAGAAAGAAGCCTGATCAAACACTGGCACGACCAAAAAGGTGGAAGCAATGGTTGGGTTCTGGTGTTTTAATAAAATGTTCCAAGGGATAAAATCGTAAGATGCAGCACTACACACGCTCTCAACACTATATAGCAGACGCTTTGCCTTAGTGGCCTGATTGCATGCATGTAAATGGGGGAGGGGCGTCAAACAAATCCAGGCTATGCATCAACAGAAATCAAAGCAATATTCGTAAAGCTAGGCAAGCGAGCGTTAACATTGGAGAAACATAAGGCTTGAGGCTTATTGATTCTTTAGATCGAAACTGTTTGGATTCGCTTTCCTTCTTAAATATTGGTGTACCATTTTGGCTTCAAAAGAATCTCTTCTTGCTTCTGCCCCTCTCTTTGGGGGAGGGGTCGCTTAACTCAGGGATGTGATGTTAGAACGCCCTCCAGGGGGCGCTACGATGCGCTTGCTGGCCGAGCGGACCCCCTCATCCACTTGGGTGCCTGCAGGTGACAGTAAGTTCCCAGGGAATAAAAAGGGAGGTGGGGGGGGGTGGACAAGAGAGAAAATTGATTAATTTGAAGAGCGTTAAGATATTAAATGCCCTCCTCATCTCCCAAGAAACTTCCATTTCAGTCTGTCAGGTAGTCCAGGCTTTCCATACCCACTCTCCTGAAAACAACCCTTTGCAGGAGAAGCCAGATTCTCATTGGATTTCATCGGACCCAATGCATCATAACAATGACAGTAAAAAGAACAACGGGAGTGATATGAAAAACAGCTGCTCATGTGCACTGTGATAAGCAACTCTGAAGTGCTTCTCAGATCATCTCATTCAGTCCTCATCACGATCCTGGAGGGAGGCACTGTTATTACCCCATTTTACAGAGGAGGTGACTGAGGCTGTGAGAGATCAGGCAACTTGCCTGCGAGGGTCTCACCACAACTTGGAGTGGTGATGGTCTGACCTAGGGATACAGCTGAAATGAAACACTGATACACACTCCTTTTCAGAAAGGAGCCAAAAAAAAAAAAAAAAGCTTAGACATGACAGAAGTCAGGGAGCAATGAAAAATGGCAAAAACACTGAAAAATTTCAGCAACTAGCATATGTGATCTCTGATACTGTCACCTCAAGATTTAGGACTCTTCCTCTGTCTTCCTCCCCTCTGGCCCCCTTGTATCTTCTTCTCCCTGTCTTCCCATTTCCCCCACTTCTTCCCCCACAGTCACTGTCCCTCTAAGACATGTGTCTTTTTCTTATTATCTCACTTCCTTCACTTGAAAGTTTTCATCAGAGAGATGCAAATCTACACTTACTGTTCCATCTACACTACTGGTTATGGAGCAGTTGAACACATTTTCTAAGAATATCAGCGAGTTCTTAAAGATTTATGATATAGCTAAGCCATGGTAAATGTTCAATTAGTGGCAGCTGTTGCTAGCATTATTACTAGGACAAGGAAGGGAAGAAGATAAATAAAATCCTAGGCTGGAAGAAGCTATTGGAATTTGAGCATAAAAATGATCTATTAACCTGGGCAATGGAAACAAAATATACTGCGGAGCTTACCCAGTCTAAGGCAGAAAATCATACCCATAAGGAAACCACCCCGTCCCGCCCCGCCCTCGCCCCATCCCCAGCAGGTGTGATCTCGAAGCAGAACTGGTCATCTTTTAATCCTCATGTTCTGTCTGGCTGAACCTTGGCTTCCTTTCCCACCAGGATTTCTCTTTGGCTCAGCAAACCATCAACTTGTCCAACTCACCTGACAGGCTAAATCCGGACTGATGCAGGTTCCTCACCGGCGGGTTGGGCCGCGTGGGAGAGCCCCGGGTGGAGCCGGCGGGGGTGCCCGCCTTGGGCGTGGTGGTCAGGTCAAACACCGGCCCGTCGTACATGCCCCTGGGCACGGCGTGCAGGTCCGCCATCTGCAGCAGAGACAGAAGGCACCCTTTAGTCCCTCAACAGCGAAGGCTCTGCTCCAGGCAGCACAGACGAGGCAGCGAACCAAGTGTGTGTGGTGAGAGCTAGAAAATAATCATGGCATTTTTCAATACTAGGGATGCAGTGTGCAACATGATAAAGGTATTTCACACTGCTGTCCATTAAAAATCAAAGTCGTTACAAATGTAAATCCTAAGAGTTCTCATCACACGGAAAATGTTTTCTCTATTCCTCTGTATCTATATGAGATGATGGTGTTCACTAAACTTAGTGTGGGAATCATTCCATGTAAGTCAAATCATTATGCTGTACAGCTCAAACTTATGTTTGTGCTGCATGTCAAAGATATCTCAATGAAACGGGAAAAATGAAAAGGTTATTTTAAGGAAAAGAGAAGCAGTATAAAACAAAGTGGGTGTTGTGACAGAGTGACCATGGAGGTGGCGGGTGAAGGCCTTTCTGAATAGAGGAGCTTCCAGCTGAAGGTTCAGAGGGGCTCGTGTGGGACCTTAGAGGGAGGAGGCTGGGGAGGCAGAGTGGTGACCCGGATGGCAGAGTTCTCAGCAGAGGAAACCGAATGTGCAAACATTACTGAAAAGAAGAACAAGCTGGGTGGCGGAGCAGAGCGGGTGGGAAGGGCAGCAGTTTGAGATGCGGTCTTGAGTGCTGGCAGGGATGTGTCCCTGTGGGAGCTTCGTCGTCATGCTCCTCAGCACAGATCAGAACCAGCAGCTCCAGATGAGCGTCCTCACTCAGGGGGTCTGACCCACTGGCCTCTGGCTGGGGCTGTGCGCTTGCCCGGGGACCGTGGAGCCCGCCAGCAACATCACCCAGCTGCAGGCTCTGTGCCAGGCATGGTGTGACCCGGCCTAATGGTTTCACATGGAACAGAGTGCCTCCCCCAAAGGCGTTCTCGTCTATTATGCAGACACTGCAAGACCACCCAAGGCAGCATAACAACTGGCATGCAACCTTCACCTATTTCTTATCATGGGCCAGAGGCGAGGCAATGAGGGCAGGACACCAGAGAGCCTGACGGCACATCGTAAGACTCCAAGGAAGTCAGCCAAAAAGCTGTCCCTCTCCTCTGTCGTGACGCAGGTGCAGGTGCAGAGGCAGAGCTCACCAAACTCGCAGATGCTCAGGATTCAGGTGAGAATCATGTGTACATGTGTACTCCTTCAAAACCTCGACCAGTAACTGTACTTTATTTCTTGGGGTCCAGAGGCAAAGGTACATTCATGGAAATACAAAGCTGATATATAGGACGTTTGAGTGTCCTTCTCTTTTCTGTTAGACCAGAACTGGAGTGTGGACTTCTACTCCAGGCTACCTACCTTCAAAACGATCACCCGTAAAGAGAGAAGGATGGGAAAGGGCCTTAGAGCACTGTCATGCATGAACAGTGGGAGGCGGCAGGGATGTTTAGAATGAAGGGCAGATGACTTTGGGAACACAGAGATGCTCAGAGGTGGGTTCAGCTCATTCTGTGCAGGTGCCAGGGGCAGAACTGTGCTGTGTGTTGGCTTCAGGGAGGCAGACTTGAGCCCAGCAGGCTCCTGTGGAGGCTACGGATAAGGCTGCTGCCACCCGTAGGGCTCTGGACAAAATGGATTCTCTCTGGCTTCTACTCAATGACTGCCTCAGGAACTCTGTGTCTGAAATTAGAAGGAACTCCCCAAATCTGAGCTCAATAACTGGACAACTAAGATCATGCTGGGGCTATCTGCACAAAAGTAGCTAGCTTCTCAGAATTCTGAATAATTTATTTCAATATATGCTTATATCTCCATCATAATTCTAGAATCCTCTGCTTTTGCCTTTATAACTGGTTGGATTATCGGTTTACCCTCCAATAAAACATTACATGTGAAAACAAAAGCAGGAAAAAAAAGAAATCGGTTCTCACAGACAAGGCTGGCCAGCTGCCTCATGAGATGGACAGGCCCATGGTGCTGCAAACATCCACACGAGGCTAGATGTAAGAGTCTCGCTTACTATACTCACTGGCGTCTAGGATTTGGGTGGGACACGGACATACGGAGTTTCTGAGAGCTTCTCTCTAATGATACCACGGAGGGCCTTATTTTCTGTCCCCAGTGCTGACAACAGGAAGCTTTCACTGGACTGGCACCCAAGAACTGCCCTCAGATGAAGACAGCCACTTGGCCCAAAGCCTCACCCTCTGCCTGGCACCAGGGTGGGAGGGGGAGGGAGCAAAGGGAGTGATTATAAGGCCCAGACCGCTTTCACAGACCGGTCCAGCTGAGGCCTTGGTTATAGCTGCATCCCGGCATCCCTGTCCTGTCCCGCTTTGTTCACGCTGTCACCAAGCGTGAACCTGAAAGCGATGCAGCCTCCCTCTCAGAGCCTGTTTTCCAGGCCATGGGCTCTGCAGGTAGACTGGAGACCCCTGCGTGGGCCCAGGCACTGAAGTGAGTATGGCTCCAGCCTGGCCCACACTGATTTACAAACTGAGCCCCTGCCTCCTCCTCCCCCACCATCCCCGTGTGCACAGATGACTATATCCCTTTGACGAGGCAAGGTCGTCAGGACTAGGGCTCGAATTCCACAATCCCCGAGCTGGTCAAACCCTGCTTTGAGGAGTGCTAAGGCTTCCCTACAGGAAGGTGACCTGGAGGATGGTGCGGGGATAGGAGAGGGAACCTATCCCCCCAAGGGATGCTCACCCCTCAGGCATCAACCAGAGCTACTCTGTCTGTAATGTGTAGGGAGGCAGGCAGGTAGGTAGACATATACACAAACATGCACACAGGAGTGTATCTAGCTACCTATTTATCTGTGAAATCAGGGGCATAAGTAAGATTTTATTTGAACTACAGAACTTGCTAAGAGAGTTATAAACATTTGCCCTGATGGATGGTTCAACACCAGGTAGACACAAGATGAGACAAGGAGGGGTGGGCGTGGTCTGCTGGTTCTTGTTGTAAGCCTTAAAGAATAAATTATTTCTTAAAAATATATACAGACTTTATTTTGAACTATTAAAATATTTCAATGCTACTTTGAGAAAAAGCACTCTAAAGATGAGGAGAAAGCATTGGAAAAAAGCTTTCTTTAGCTAAGAACGTTTTTGAAACTCCCTTTTATAAACTGGATTACAGTCCATTAAATCTGTGCAATTGTCCTTTGGGAAAGAGACCCTTGCTATGAATCTCTGGGAGGATCTAGAGCACACAGACCCCTCCCCATCTAGTGGTTCCTACACCTGTGCTGAGTGGGTCACAGAGCCCTTTCCCCCCCACCTCTGGGCTCCACCTGCTTCTCACCTTCCTCCGTGCTTTAATGCGCTTGTAGACGTAGTCCGAGAAGGGGCTGCAGGGGATGAAGCGGCCAGCCCCCTGGGTCACATGCAGGTTGCCGTCTTCCAGCATGATCTTGCCCTGGCAGATGACCACCAGAGGAGCCCCGCGCAGCTCCATGCCTTCGAAGATGTTGTATTCTGCAGCCTAGAGACAGGGGCGAGGGGCAAAGCCTTGGTTATGGGTATAGTGAGGAGAGAAAGAGAAACACAGTTCTCCTGGCCTTGGGATCCCGCCTTCAGCATCCCTAGGAACTGATTCAACAGGTAAGCTGGAAACAGCTTACAAACCGCCTGCAACCTTTCAGTGGGCAGAGACCTCAGGAGACAGATGCTTGCTGAGAGTGGGCTTCCTGGTGAAGAGAAGCATCCCATCTTTTGTAAGGTCCTTACATGGAAGTAAATTTTTGTCACTGGCAGGGTTCAAGAGAAAGTGAGTAACTGACAGCAATGGTGTATATGCTGTCTTGCACTGGGTGGAAGGGTTATACAACCTTTATGTCCCCACTAGCTCAAAATTCAATGCGATTTGACACAATGCTTAAGCAAAGGCCACTACCACCCAAAATGGGCTTTTCCCCTACCTTCCTCATTTATTCAGTAAGTACAAGGCACTGTTGCAAAGTGGTTAAGGATCTCGGTTTATTTTTTTTATTTTTATTTCTTTTAGGATCTCGGTTTGGAGTCAAGTTATCTGGGTTTGAATCCTAGCTTCACATTTACTTGCGGCATTATTTCATCTCTCTGTATCTCTCCTTCCTTATCTATAAAGTGGAGATAATAAAGCGTGCCACCTGGACAAGAGTGTTACAAAAATTCAACAAATTAAAAACACAGTGCCTGAAACATAAGTGCTTGAAAATACATTTTCCTAACAAATATTTTTATGCCCCATTCTGTCAGGAGGTGGTGGTGCTATGTCACGTCTGTCTCTTGCGACCCCACGGACTGTAGCCCGCCAGGCTCCTCTGTCCATGGGATTCTCCAGGCAAGATACTGGAGTGGGTTGATATGTCCTTCTCCAGGGGAATCTTCCCGACCCAGGGATCAAATCCACATCTTCTGCATTGAAAGCAGATTCTTTACCAGCTGAGCCACCNTCCCAGAGTCTACTCAAACTCATGTCCATTGAGTCAGTGATGCCATCCAACCATCTCATCCTCTGTCGCCCCCTTCTCCTCCTACCCTCAATCTTTCCCAGCATCGGGGTCTTCTCAAATGACTTAGCTCTTCGCATCAGGTGGCCAAAGTATTGGAGTTTCAGCTTCAACATCAGTCCCTCCAATGATTCTATAGCCCACTGGGTGAGCTTAGGCCCAGAAATACAAAGAGGGGCTTCAGAAGTGGTGAGCACAGAAGTCCACCCAGTGAGCTACAGAATCAGCTGTAGCTCTGGACTGTCATGATCACTCAGACAAAATGGACAAATGCATGGCTGCGTGGCTTAGGATGGAGTTTACTGCTCTGGAAGTATGCATGTTTTTTCCAGATATATACATACATTTACTTACTTATTTATCCCTTCTAACTCCAAAAGGGACTATAGAGATTTCAAAGTAAAAGCAAATATAACTGTGAGCCCATAGTTTAGATATTTCTATTTGCATAGGCACCCAATAAATATGAAAGAACCTTGCCCAAATGAAAACAATGGTTATCCCGGGGTTGTGGAATTCTGAGTGATTTTTTTTTTTAATGTGTGAACTTTTCTATGGTTTCCAAGTGTTCTTTATTCAGCAGGTATCATGTGAGTAATTTTAAGATATGTATTACCTTTTAGCAGTTCCAGATAGTGCCAAAATAAATATACATATACATACACTCATAAATACATAACAATGTAAGAAAAGATGAAAAAAAACTAAGTTTATATGAGAAGAGACAAAAATATTTATACTTTCCCCCCTTTCAAAACAGAAAGTTTGGGTAAGGAAAGAAGAATTTAGTTTAAAATCTAGTTTTGACCTTCCTGGGAACCAAGAGGGGGAAAAAAAAAAGGAAACTTGGACTACATGGTGTAGATGTGTATTTTATTTGGCTCTGAAATGAGTGTCTAGGATTTTTAAAATAAATCAGAGGGAAGTGATCAACTTAATAATGAGTTTTATAAAGGTTAGTCAAAGCTTAGGAAGTGACTTCATTTGCATGGCTGTTTTTTGTCAGCTTCTGTGATGTTAACAAGGAAAGTAAAACCACACCACTTTGCCAGAAGTCTCTGACAATTACCTGTACAGTCTGGATGACCACACAGCCCAGTGCAGGGCATCCTTGGTGAGCAAATGACTTGAGTCTTGGTCATAGACCCCTTGCCTATCATGTCAAAGGATTATAGCCAATCCTTTATTGGTACCATCAGATGAAGGATGTGTTTCTGGTTCATGTGCATGATGCTAAGTTGCTTCAGTCATCTCTGACTCTTTGTGACCCTATGGACTGTAGCTCACCAGGCTCTTCTGTCCATGGGATTCTCCAGGTGAGAATACTGGAGTGGATTGCCATGATGTTCTCCAGGGGATCCTCCCAACCCAGGGATCGAACCCGCATCTCTTAAGTCTCCTGCATTGACAGGCAGATTCTTTACCACTAGCACCACCTGATTCATAGTCCTTCACAATCTAGGAGGCCTTCTCAGAACCCAGCCCTCGGGCTTCATCACTCTAGAAGGGACATTCACAAACCACCTGGTTCCAGAGATACCTGGGCAGGTATGAGGCCTCATCTGCACACCCAGCGCCCCCAGGGATGAAGAGGAGCAAGGAACAGGACACTCTGATCTGGCCTCAGCTGCCCTCCTGTGACCTCCATCCTTACCACAGCTTTGTCCCAGATGACAGACATGCGCTCCTCCACACCATTGGTGCCCTCGGGAATGGCTGTGAAGTTGTCCTTCCCGATGGCTTTCTGGGCAGTGCTGAAGGTGCAGTGGGCACTCCCAGAGAGCTGCAGGTCTCCACTGGCCGAGGAAAAAGTTCCATGTGAACAAGGAGATTAGAGGCACCCCAGGGGCCCAGAAACAAGAGTCTAGGGTAAGGCTGTGGAGTGCTATGCATTGAGTTTGGAATCTTTCCCCTCCCTCTTGCCAACTGTGAACTTGGGTGATTTCTTCCCCTCCCCGGGACTCAGTTACCCCATCTGGGAAATGAGGGGAGTGGATTAGATCACTTCTTATGTAGCAGAAGTGATGGGACGAATGATGGGACGTATCCATAGAGGGCAGCAGCAAATGAGTCTCCCTATGATTTTGGTTCGGTGCTCATCATGACCAGCGTTAAAACTAGGGAAGTGATTTTTTGTCTCCTGGACCTTCAATTGCTCAATCTGTAAAATAGTGATGATAGCTCCTCACTCAGGGTGATGTTTGTTGTAAGGAACAATGAGATCACATGTGTAATCTCACCCTAGTGCTTGGCATACAATATGTATTAACTGCTATTACCATTACTAAAATGATTACTGGAATATCTTTTACAATACAATGGTGGAGAGCCCACTGTCTGTGCTTAGCACTGCAGGGGAATTCCTGATGTGCTTTTCTCAAAGGAGACTCTAGTCTAGCTGATGGATGGGCGGCCCTGGTCCTCATTCCACTGGCCCCAAGACGTCTCCACGCAACACCCACTGCTTGTCATTCTGCACCAACCTGGCCAGCAAGGAGTTGATGTAGTCTGGAGTGGTCGGGTCAGGACTCAGAGGTGGAGATGTCACAAATGCAGCCGCCTTGGCCCAGTTCTTGCTCCAGTAATGGGTCCCATCTGTGCCCAGGCTGGCAGTGATGGGCTCACCAAAGACCACGTTTCCTGGAAGGGGTGGGTGAGAGGCAATAGGTTTGCATAATGTATGTGTTGCCCTGGGACAGGCTTAGATAATCATGGCCCCTACTCAGCCTTCTCAAGGATGTGGCTCTGAGTCAAGCACGTAGGATTCAAGTGCACATTCCCAGCTTTTCTAAGCCTTTACTTTTCTATCTTCTAAATGGGAACAATTTTGTATTTGGTAGAAGCCACTAGTTGCAAGATGCAGCATGCATTCATGCTCAGTGGCTCAGTCATGCCCAACTCTTTGAGACGCCATGAACTGTAGCCCACCAGGCTCCTCTGTCAGTGGGATTTTCCAGGCAAGAAAATGAGTGGATTGCCATTTCCTTCTCCAGGAAAATCTTTCTGATTCAGGGATCGAACATTGCCTGCATTGGCAGGCAGATTCTTTACCACTGAGCCACCTGGGAAGCCTCGTAAGATGCAGCATTTATTCTCAAATTTTGAGGTAAATTTAAAATTTGAAGCAAAAGAAAAAGTATATACATTAACTGTTAAGATTCATCCTCATTTCAGAAATGTGAAAATGTGGAATAAATCGGTCCTGGAATTGATGATATAAGACAATGTCTACTTCCCAGCCTTGTGAAAATGAAGGGTCTGGCATACACAGAGTGTCTGGCACTTGGGAGATGCTAAGGAAAAGTGATTTCTTTACACCTCGTACTCCTTTCCACTGTAGAGTGCAAGCCCCATATGTGCCCACGTCATTGGAAACTGCTAGATTCTGCTGCTGCATGGACATGCTTAGGCTCCACAAAGTAACACCCATTCCCATGGACGACAGTCTCATGATCTTTTTTCCCATTATGTTTGTTACTCCTTAACCTATGGCAACAAAGGAATTTGCTCAAGGACACCCAACAACCTGGGACACAGCAAAGATGAGGCTGGCTTCTAGGACCTTGTTTTTGGAAAGAGGGGCTGAAATGCCCAAACCAAGAAGACAGGAGGAAGGATACTGGAACACACACTGACCTAAGCTGAGCTTCTTAAAGAAGGGATGGTGATACAGAAGGCAAATGCCATCTCATAGAGGGTGGGATGGTACCAAGTGTCTTTGTGCCAGATTCTTGGGCTAAAGATGCTGGTGCAGCCCTCGGCTTCTTTAAGTTTGGTCCTCCACCTTCCACATTCAGGTTCCCCACAAGATGGACATCTAAGAAGGCTCTATGGCCAAGACTACAGGTTTTGCCTAGGTTCAACTCCAATCAAATGATTTTGGTTGCCTGTATTGGGAAGAATTCTAAATACGCTCTGGTCTCACTAGAGAACACTCATGATTGACTTGCAATGTCTGCCACGTGCAAAATAAGAAAGCAATGGCAAAGATTCCTACAAGACAGTCCTGCTCCTTGGGATGGTAGTGAGAAGGATCCACACAGGACTAATGAGAATTTCAAGGGCTCTCCAAAAATATTTACCAAACTAAAGCAACAAAGAAATGAAGAAATGAAAAGCAAGCACTCAAATACTATTAAGAGGAATATGAACTTAAACATGGGTGCCTCTCCCTTTGGACTATCTTTAGATGGAGGACTAGAATAAGCAAAGATTGTAATTTACTACAACTAGATTTGGAGTCTAGCTCTCCCAGCTGGGAGATTCTGGATAAGATGGGCTTCAATTTCCTTATTGGAAAAATGGTGACAACAAATGCCAACTTCTCAGAGTCCTTCATGAGTTCTACATAACAATACATTAAAGTAGTTCTCTCAGGGCAAGGCATAGCATTGGTCCTCACTAAACTGAAATTCCTAATGTTGTTTCTGAGCAGCCAGGCAGACATGCTACAGAGCACTTGGGGATTAAACACCCTGGGGCTTAAACTCCTCTGGTCCAGAGGGAAGAATGAATTCTATCATGCTCTGTCTTCTCATTCTGAATGCTCCTGTCTCTCCCTGAGGATGACAGTTCATGACATGTTTATTGGCTTCAATCTCAGCAGCCAGTCTTTCATCACTAAAGTGATGCCTTCCTTCCACCTTGGAGACCAAGCTGTACTAGTTCTCCCTGCTAGAGCCATGATCCAAAAGGCTAAGGGTGAAGAATTTTTCTACATGAAATTTAAAACAAGACTCAGCATACAGTTGAGACACCCTGTCTTTGAAGCCCCCAGGTCATCCAAGAATGGGTCCCAGGCTGGATGCGGCCACCAGCAGAAGGCACAAGAGGCTGAGGATGGTAGGTGGCCAGGGGGAGAGGTATGGGGTGTCCTCCATGAACTTTTCTTTTCCTTTCTTTTTTTGGCTCCATGGCAGGTGGGATCTTAGTTCCCCAACCAGTGATATAACTTGTTCCCCTGCATTGGAAGCACAGTAGTCCCCACTACCAGGGATCCCTTCTCCTTTTTCCTTTTTTTCCCTTCTTGAAGACTGGGTAAGGAACACTGGACTGCTTTCCTGGTTCTGTCCCGAAGACTCATATCCAGCGGAGCAGCCATGCCGTATCATATGGAGACACTTAGAAGCCGAAAGAGAAACAGCAGGCTTCCTGTGAGCAGGGTAAGGCAGGCGGTGCCCAGAACTGGCCGGCTAGAAAGGCTGTCAGGGCAATGAGGAAGCTTCCCCTCCCAGAAGAAAAGGGTCTCCTCTGCCGGAAGGCCGGGCAGCCACACACTCGGCCGTCAGTCAGCTGGGACTATTTTTATCCCCCTCAGACACTCACATGTGGAGTTTCACAGACCAGTTCTGAGTTTGGGAAATGAGTCGCTCATCGTGGGTCTCCCCACATGGCGGGCATGATCGTATAGCCGGGCCTAGGACACCCTCCCTTGCAACTAAACACAAACCCCTATGACCCCTAGGTCTCAACCCACTCTGTTCACCGGTGGGCCCATTGAGGTGCCACTGATGACAACAGAGAGCAAGAAACCAAGCTCTGAAATGAAGATAAGCTTGAGCTTGGCACAGGTGACCACAGGAAGCTAAGTTAACAGCCATGGAGGAAGGAAGCAGATATCAGCAGGTCTTGATCACAGAGCTTGGGGTCATGACAGCCATACCATAGCTGGATATGGTATGGAGACCTGCTCTGAAATAACCAGCGCTGACCTGCATGGCTCAGGGGGTGGGAACCCCTGCACTCCCTACCCTCAATCCCAGCCAATGACACCATCTCCGGAGCAGATACNGCTCTGAAATAACCAGCGCTGACCTGCATGGCTCAGGGGGTGGGAACCCCTGCACTCCCTACCCTCAACCCCAGCCAATGACACCATCTCCGGAGCAGATACCGGTTCAGAGATGAACCCACGTCTGAAGCCAAGGCAATGGCAGTCTTCCTGGGGACTTTTGCTTGAGCTGTTGGAAAAGATATTCTCCACTCCTTCACCATGCCCCCACCAACTGTGGAGGACAACAGCAGCTTTTAGCATTAATTCTTGTCACTGTTCATACTGAAGATAAAGCCAAAAGAGAAGAAAGCAGAGTCCAGAAAGGAGTAAGAGCGACAGAGCCATAATAGTGTTGTTTAAATCCCTTGATCCAGCCATGCCTAAAACACCTTCAGCTTCACCTTCAGTTTAAGTCCGTTTGGCTGGGATTCTGACTGCTGCACTCAATATAATCCTGACTAATATGTCCATTTATAAAGTTCAGATAATATGAACTGAAAGTGAAAGATCACAGGAGAAAAAAGATGTACCAACTCTCCAAAGAACAGATTCAAGCTGTATCATCTCGGGCAGATCACTTACCCTTCCTGAGTTTCAGTTTACTCATCTGCAAGTAGAAGAAACCCTGAGATCCTGCCATCCATACAGGATACAGAAAGGACTCAACGGGCTAATAAGGATGAAGGGCTTCCCAGAGAGCAAGGCAATGAGCCAAATAGGCACTGCTGATACAGGACAGCTGGGGGGAAGGAGCCACATGGCTCTTTAGGGGCTCTGAGATCTTTGGAGCCCAAATCACCTTTTTTCCTGGCTTGCGAGATGAGGTCGGCCGCACTCTTGCTCATGACCTTCGTGACGTAGAGAGGACAGTTGGTTTGGCTAGCAATGGTGATGGCACGGAACACAGCCTCAGCTTCCAGCTGCAAGAAACAATCCCTGGGAGTCAAGGGGAGCAGGACCATCTCCAAGCGCCATGCCCAGCCTCCACAGACTGAGAATGCAGTGCTGCACGGAGGTTACAAGCCTTGGGGACCCTGGACCTCCACACCCTGGATCCAAACCTCCTATCTGTGGCTTCCAACTCTGTCCCTTCACTGGGCAACTCAGAGCCCCGCCCCTCTCCTGGGAAGTGGAGATCAGGAGGGTGTGTAAGCAGGGGTTAGGTGAGAGCAGTGCCTGGACAGAGGGGGCACTGCATCATGGCCTCTTTTCTCCTCTTCCTGTGATTATCACAAGGGCCGCACATAATGGAAGCCTTTGCTCCCCAATCTGCCCAGGACAGAATCCCTGGGCAAAACATAACCCCAACAGCAGTATGTATAAATAACCAGTTAAGGCTGCCTGTGTGCATGACAGGCTTCTTAACTCCAAGATTTCCTTTATTACTGATCTCCTCCAGCCACCCTAATGTAGAAGTCATGTTTTTGAACATGCCAACCAACACAATTGACTGTAGTTAAGTAAGAAATAATGATTCTTCCCCTGTTCTATTAACAAAGCAGGATCTTAGAGCTTGGCCCCTTCTCATGAGTTGGGTACAAGTCCTGAGTCTGCCACTTAGAAGCTGGGTAACCTCAGGAATGTTACACAACCTCCCAAAGGCTCAGTTTCCTCGTCTGTGAAGTGGGGATAATAATAGGACCTGACATACAGAGCTATTGAGAGGACTAAAATAGTTCATCCTTGTAAGGCAATGAGCCCAATCCTGGAACAAGGCAAGTGTTCCCTGAAGGCTGGCTATTTGGCTGTATGGCTGATGACAGCTTCTGACCAGAGGGAGAGAGCCTGTATTACTACCGAAAACCCGAATTAAGTCCAATTCAGCCCAAAGCAGACATGCTGGCATTTTTCCTTTCAATTGGCCACAGTTTCTTTTTGGACAAATATGACACTCTGGTTAGCCATGCAGCCCAACACTTTTAAAAATATCAAAATAGCTTGCAGATAGACGCCTAATGTTTTTATAATGCAAACCAGTCACTGCCCTTGGTGGGTGCGGCTTAGCAAACAGACTCTAAGCACTTGGCTGGTGCAGCTAGCATCCTCCAGGCTGCTCTGTTCCACGTGGCAAGATCAAGATCCCGGAGCCCAGAGCACAAGTGACTGTGACCACCTTCCTGAAGCACCCAGACATCACAGGAGCTATCTCTGAGCTTTGGCTTCAGCTCTCTGAACAGCATCACTCAAGATGCTCTCTAGGTGTGCTTTGACCTCAAGAGGGGCTGCTTCTCGTATGTCGAGGCCTCCTTCTTCGTGCCTATGCTGACCACTCCAGCTCCCCCACGACCACGGTCCCAGCCTTTTTGATCTCATCTGCCCCCACCCACCCCCGCCACCCTGAGCACTGCAGGGTTTTCAGCACCTTGACAACACGACTATCTTTGGAAGGTTACATCACCCTCCAACTTCACCCACAAGGGCTTCCAGGATTGTGGAGATCTATGGCTGAGAGGCTTTTTACTAAAAAGGAGACAGGAACAGGGAGGAAGGGTGGGATGGGGGGGTTGGAAAAACAAACCAAGGAACAAAAATAGACTTTGCCCAGAAATCCCCTGGCTGCTGCTGTAGGAATCTGTCTTGCCAGCACATCTCCACAGTGACCAGCATTTAAGACAAGTTGCACAAACTGCTGATCACCCTGGCCTGCTCACACCGGGTGTTTTCCAGTCCTTCAAGCATGATGGCCAGTGGTTTCATCTCTCTTGAGCTCCAGCTTCTTTACGTAAGAGTAATAGCCAGTACTCAGACCAGGGAAAGGTACCGAGGACTTGGTATGCAGGAGACAGACTTTTCAGGGCTTTGACCAAAACCTTGATCACAAAATTACAAATTATTTCAACCAACAACAAAAACAGCATTAAAAACATGGAGTTTCTAGAGTGCCGATAATGTTCTGTTTCTCCAACTGGGTGGTAGTTGTACGTGTGTTCAGTTTGGGAAAATCCATCGTACCTTTATGATAGGAATACTTTTCTCTATGTGTGCTATATTTTCTTTCTTTAAAAAGACCCTAACAGAGACAAACAATGGGAATATTGTGATTTCTGGTTATGGTTCCTTTTCCTATCTGTATTTTAAAAATTCTGTTAATTGGAATAAAATTGCTTTATAATATTGTGTGGGTTTCTGCTGTACAACATGAATCAGCCATACCTATGTATATATCCCCTCCTTCTCTTCCCCCCATCCTACCCCTCAAGGTCATCACAGAAGACCAGGCTGGGCTCCCAGTGTTAATAGCACCTTCTCACCAGCTATCTATTTTACACATGATAGTATACGAATGTTGATGCTACTTTTTCCACTTGTCCTACCCTCTGCTTCCTCTGCCGTGTCCACAAATCCTTTCTCTAAACCTGCATCTCCATTCCTTCCATGCAAATAGGTTCATCAATACCATTTTTCTAGAACCCATATATTAATATATGATTCATATATGATATTTGTCTTTCTCTTTCTGACTTACTTCACTCTGTATAACAGGCTCTAGATTCATCCACCTCACTAGAACTCACTCAAATTCCTTCTTTTTTATGACTGAGCAATATTCCATTGTATATATGTACCAATTTCTTTATCCATCTCCTACCTGTTGCAGGATGCCGGGCTTGGAATGATAGTACAGGAAAGGGTTCACTTCATTGACACAGAGGGCCTGGAATTCCCTCCAGGTGCCAGGCTGGTCTCTGAAAGCCAATGTGCTCTCAGGCCTATGGGCAGCCAGTTTCCAGCTCTAGGCCTGTGCCAGCCACTGAACTTGCTGACAGCCCAGACGTCCAACCAGCCACTAGTTACCATTCATTCACTCTTTAGCTCCTAAGCAGTGACACTAATCAGCATGCATCTTACACGTGGGAAACGTATACCTGGATGTCCTTGTCACCATATACAAATCAACAGACATCATGCCTATGAAAAACCCATTCAGCCCACTATCAATATGGGCTGATGTTGTGCAGGACTCAAAATAGAATATGGAATAAAAGAAAAAGTGGAAACATCTCTGGGCTTCACACTGATTAAGAAAGGATTTAAATATTTACCGCTATTTAAATATAATCCTACTGAGGTATTATAGAGTGCCCTCCGACTTGTACACTCTTTAGAGAGGTCAGGGGTCAGAAATAAGTATTTTCCTTCCATTCCCTTCTAATTTTCTCAGGGGCCTTGAGTTGGGTCAGTCAGACATGGTCTTTGGAAGAAATGTCCCAGTTTCTGTCTCGCCTTCACAGAGTCCCAGCACCTTTCAAAGGAGTTTGTTCACGCAGCTTATGTGTGTGTGCTGAGGGAGGGGGAGCTAGATGCAAACACCACAATATAAAATGGGCAGCAGGACACTTAAAATGGGTAACAAGGTCCTACTGTACAGCACAGGGAACTCTACTCAATGTTACACGGCAGCATGAACTGGGGGGAGTTTGGGGGAGAATGGATACATGTATATGTATGGCTGAGTCCCTCTGCTGCCCACCAGATACTATCACAATGTTGTTAATCAGCTTTACTCCAATATAAAAGAAAGTTTTAAAAAATTAAAATAAAATGGGCAGCAGGCCATAAATCAGGTCGCTGTGATAACAGGAGTCTCCCAGAAGATGCTGCTAAAAAAAAAAAGAAGAAGAGCCTCCATTGCTCCTACTTCTCTCCCTGCCCCCCCCAACCCCACCCCCACCCCCCATGCTCCTGAAAATTACCTCCTCTGGTCTGCTCAGCACATGGCCTTCTGGGCCAGTTATCCCCATTTCCAACATCCGGGTTTGCTCCTAGAATGAGAAAGGAATAGAGAACAATTTTTATATGAGCTCAACTGAAGCCTGAAACAGTATGAAACAGTAGGAAAAGGCAAAAAGACAGGACACTGAAAGATGAACTCCCCAAGTCAGTAGGTGCCCAATATGCTACTGGAGATCAGTGGAAAAATAACTCCAGAAAGAATAAACAGATGGAGCCAAAGCAAAAACAATACCCACTTGTGAATGTGACTGGTGATGGAAGTAAAGTTCAATGTTGTAAAGAGCAATATTGCAAGGGAACCTGGAATGTTAGGTCCATGAATCAAGGCAAATTGGAAGTGGTCAGACAGGAGATGGAAAGAGTGAACATCGACATTTTAGGAATCAGTGAAATAAAATGGACTGGAATGGGTGAATTTAACTCAGATGACGATTATATCCACTACTGTGGGCAAGAATCCCTGAGAAGAATAGAGTAGCCATCATAGTCAACAGAAGAGCCCAAAATGCAGTACTGGATGCAATCTCAAAAATGACAGAATGATCACTGTTTGTTTCCAAGGCAAACCATTCAATATCACAGTGATTCAAGTCTAGGCCCCAACCAGTAATGCTGAAGAAGCTAAAGCTGAACTGTTCTATGAAGACCTACAAGACCTTTTAGAACTAACACCCAAAAAATGCCTTTTCATTGTAGAGGACTGGAATGCAAAAGTAGGAAGTCAAGAGATACCTGGAATGACAGGCAAATTTGGCCTTGGAGTACAGAATGAAGCAGGGCAAAGGCTAACAGAGTTCTGCCAAGAGAACGCACTGGTCATAGCAAACACCCTCTTCCAACAACACAAGAGAAGACTCTACACATGGACATCAC